CCCAGGATCTTTCTGAGATGGGAAGGAGATCTGCACACTCATGATCTAATAAGGATTAGCTTTCAAAGGTCATTTTCCTCAATGTGGTTTAATAGAGTTGGTTTTATATTCCCTAAAGGATATAGACTTCTGAATTGTTGCAGTCTTACTGAACTTAATACATACAGCTAAAGTTTTCATTGAAACAGTCTCTCCTCCAAGACAGTGGTTCTCAGCTACGGAATTTTTCCCCCAGGGACATTTAGCAATGTCTAGAGACCTTTCTGATTGTCACATCTAGGCAGGGAGTGGGTAAGTGCTTCTGGTGCGTAGTGGGTAGAGCCCAGGATGCTGCAGAACATTGTGCAGTATACAGGACAGCCCCACACAGAGTTACTGGCTCCAACTGTCCTGATTGCTGAGGGGGAGAAACAGTTCAAGGGAAGCAGCCATGGAGGCATCTGATTCTGAGCAGGCTTTCGGGAGCTGTGGCCCTCTATGCAACCATTCTCTGTGGTGGAGCATCTCAATGGGTGTTATAGGCATGAACGTCCTTCTCATAACAAAAAAATCCTTGAAGCTAAGACCACTTGAAACATCCGGGCTCTGTGCCATGCTGTCCCATGAATGAGCTTTAGACAATGGAGATACCCTGGCCTCAAGGGTGCTTGGGCTGTGAGGATTCCTCTTGTAACCCAGGCATTCATTGCTAGCAGGTCATAGAGTTTGGAAGGAAAAATCATTATTGTTCTCCTAATGTATCAGTACTTCATTATTTTAATAAATTATGTTTAATTAACTTTGTGCCTCAGACATTTATAAAATAACTTTTGATTTTGGCAAATGTAAAAAATAGATTTCAGCTCAAAAGGCAAGACCTGAGAACACTGTGCTCAAATATCTTTTATTTTGTGCCTGTCTGCTGCCTTCTGGATCTTGTGGGCTTGTCCTTAGAAGGCCATAAAGATGACAGCAGCCACCTTTTACTGACGGTCACACAGAGGACATCGTTAGGTGGCTATGGACAGGACTGGGTGAGCTGTATTCAGATGTTCCTCGCTGAGCCTAGAACATTAAGGGAGGTAAATAAACAGCACACAGCATTTTCAGTGTAGAAATATGCAATGATTTCCCAGGCTGCTGCCAAAATCTTTTCTCCTTCAGTGTAGGGGGTGACCCTACCCAATTAAAGGGCTCCTTTTGGCCCTCTGTCTCCCATCACAGCTGTGTGAAAGTAGGAAACGGGAGGAAGGGAACTCTCACCATACCCGGGAGACCTGTCGGCGTTGTCCTGTTTGCTCCTGTTTCTGGGGAAAACTTGACAAAGGCAGCATTTGCTGAAACATCTTTACTTTTTCCTTGGAAGCTAATAGATACTACCTGCTCATTACCAACTGTGAAAGGAGTACAAGAATATATTACCGTAAACCTGGAGGTTGCCCTTTTCCTTCCTCCTAACAGTCTTTGTACATTCTGTCTTTTTTTTTTTTTGAGTTGGAGTCTCACTCTGTCGCCCAGACTGGAGTGCAGTGGCCGCTCCCAGCCACCGCAGCCTCGACCTGCTGGGCTCCGGCTATCCTTCCGCCTCAGCCTTCCGAGTAGCCGGAATTACAGGCGTGCACTACAGAAATAATATTTCCTACAGAATAATAAAAGAAGTCAGTATGACACTTCTCCTTACCTTTACCTCCTTAACCAGAGAAAACAGCCTTTAGCAGTTTGATATTTCTTCTTTCAGCACTGTTGACATGATCTGTTTGTCTTTGGCACGTTTGTTATGTTCTCACAATGTGTGGTGCATGCTCAGGTGGGAGGACGTGGGCTTCACATTCATAGCTCTTCTTCTTTTCCATACAAAATGAGACTGTGTTGTATATGATATTCTGAGGCTTCCATTTTAAAAGTCATAAAAACCTCTGCCATTGTTCCATGTCAAAGTATATAAATAACCTCAGTCTTTGTCATGGGGCACTGTGTTCTATAATGTGGATGTATGGACTCTACTTTGCCTGTTGATTCCATCATATTGGGTATATTAGGCTCTAGATTAAGACACTCCATTCTGGGATTTTTTTTAGTTTGAGTCTCACTCCATTGCCTAGGCTGGAGTGCGTGGCAAACTTGCAGCCACCCCATCGTCGACCTGCTGGGTGCCAGTGATCCTTTCTTCTCAGCTTTCCAAGTAGCCAGAACTACAGGCATGTGCTACCATGCCTGGCTAATTTTTGATTTTGATTTATTGTAAAGACCAGCTTCACCATGTTGCCCAGGCTGGTCTTGAACCCGTGGGCTCAGGCAGTCCTCTTGCCTCTGCCTCCCAAAGTGCTGGGATTACAGGCTTGAGCCACTGCGCCTGGCCCATTCTGGGATGTTAAAATATAAAATGGAATTTGATTTGTCTCCATGTTACAGTCCATGTGGGCCTTTGGGGGCCCAGGCTCCATCCACTTCCTGGCTCTGCTGTCCTGCAGCTGTTGTCCTCAGTGTAGTTGAAGGTGTTTTACCACATTCACACCCTGGCATGGGTGAGCATGCAGGACGCACTTAGAGTATGGATATTGCACTTCTGATCATGTCCATCTGGCCAGAATTTGGAAGCAGGAGGAGGGAGGAGAGGAGCTTAGTCTGCAAGGACAGACTTAGCTGTAAAGGAAACTGGGCAATGTGTTCAGCTAATTCTGCCATTGGTAACGAAGCAAGAGACAATCAGATATTTAACTAACAGTCTCCACCACAGTGGCATTTAGATAGGTTACAGCTTTTTGCCAGTGAAAATACTGTACATCTTTATGCACAAATGCAAGTATTTCTATAGGATGGATACCTACAGATAGTCAAAGTGAATGTACATTTGAGATTTTTATAAGTAATGCCCAATTGCCTTCCAAAAAAGCTTAATTAATTAACATTCCACTCCACAAAGAATGAGTGTTCTGTTCAATATCCTTCAAAATGGGATAGTATTCATCTTTTATCTTTTTTTCCAGTTTTCTAGATGAAAATAGATAATACGGATGAATGGATGATAGATTCTTATTGTACTTTGCATTTCCATGATTAGTTGAGATCATGAAACTCTTCTCATAATCATTGATCATTCATGTTTCTTTTGTGAATTGCCTGTTTGTATCTTTTGCCTGTTTTTGTAATGCTTTTTGTTGTTGTTTTGTCCTTTGTTCATCTGCAGCAGAAGCTTATGTATATGTACATTCTAGATATAAATTATTTGCCACGTATGTTGTACTTATTTCATTCTGAACTTGCTGGTTGTTGGTATGTGTCTTTATCAGAATTATATAATTTTTATCTTATTATATCTGTCAATCTTTTCCTTTAAGACTTACTAGATTTTGTGACTTGTTTAAAAAGAACTTTCTTATACCCAAATAAATAAAAAAAATTTTTAACTGTGCTTTTGCATTTAGGTTTTTAATCCATACTGACTTTTTAGTGTATAGAATCTCAGATAGCAATATCAAATGGTTAGATTTTTCAATATCACTTACTGACTTGTTCAATCCCCCCTTATGGATTTAAAATGCCTCCTCCTTTACTATTATATATGTGGATCTATTTCTAGGTTTTCTTCTCTGTTGATTTGTTTGCCTCACCCTCACTAAAACCATCCTGTAATATCTTGTAACACAAGTTCCCATTCATTATTCTTTTTTAATTAAAAAAAATTGTGCATTTCTCTTTTGCACTAACTTTATAGTCATTTCATTAGTTCCATTAAAGGAATACCCTGAAGGTATTTTGATTGGGCTTGTGTTGACCTTCTAGATTCATTAGTGAAGAATTGACATCTATAGACTCTTTCAGTGGGTTTATCTATAGCGAACATTTTCAGGTGTTCTCTTACGTAGTTCTGTGGTTATAAACAATCCACCAAATGAAAACATTTGAACAACATAAAAATGGCAGGGAACGAGGAGAGTGTGATCCTTGCCCATGACGTAGGTGCCTGCACACATCCCACACATTCAGGGGTCATCGACACTTTGCATGATCACATCTGGGATGAAACTTACATCTGGTTTATTGCCATGTGTGTCCAAAGCTTCAGCTACCTTGATGCCAAATTTCCCCAGGCCTTGCTTGGTTCTTGCCTTCTATCCTTTTTTCTTGTTGAGTTATAAATAATCCTGTAGGCAATAACAGAAGTAGAGTTTGTGGCTTAACTACTAAGAAATAAACTTGCCTTTTCTGTGAGTTTAATTTCTACCATTTTCTGAGAATTTGATTTCTGCCATAGTTTTACCACTGGCACTATTGATGTCTGAGGAAAGGTAAATAATGAAGATATTCTGTGGAGAATTGCTTAAACATGTTAGCTTTGAGGGAGGATTTTAAGTGTTTCTCTAGTGAGATGAGAACATTCTTTTCTACGTTTACCTATACTCATTAGAGTCCTTTCAGGTGCTGAACAGTACAGTGTGTTCAGGAAGATGTTTTACTTAGTGGATTACTGTTAATAGGTTATTGCTCTGTGATTTAAAAACAATTTACATAGCCAAACCCGTTTATACCTTACTTATGATTTTTAAAAGTCAACTAGAGGAAAAAGTGCTTATGGACATTCTGTGAAATTAAAGGGACAGTGGCATGCAAATTTGATCAACTCTTTGGAGCTCTTCTTCCTTATAAATGAGGTGTGTGTTGTGAGCACGGTGATGTTATGAAGTAAAAGGGTGAACAGAGAAATGGTTTGAATAGCATGTTTATAAGAGATAATATGTAAGATAGCTGTGGACTGCATGGAGGGAGAACCTGCAGTGGGAAAGAAAGTACAGGCTTCTAAGGAGACTGCAGAGGAGCCCCAGGCTAGGGTGTGAACTTCCACAGCCTCCCAGCACTTGGCTCTCCTGGAGTGAAATAACCTCTGAGTAGATGTGAAGAAGTTTAGTATAGATGATAACTCAAGCATCTCTCCAGGCCCATGTGCTGTGCTTCTGTAACATGCAGTACTTATCAGCTTCTGAGATGCTCACGTAACACATGCGCCCTTGTTTCTCTTCCAGAACTACACACAGTACATCCCTCTGTCTATATACGACCTGCAGACATGGATGGGCAGCCCATCGATCTTCGTCTATGACTGCTCCAACGCCGGCCTGATCGTCAAGTCATTCAAGCAGTTTGCTTTACAGCGAGAGCAGGAGCTGGAGGTGAGGTGCTCTGGATCCTGGAGAGGGGGCTGGATTTTTGTCTTGATTTCTCCCAGCGTGAGAAATGGGTGGGAGGGTAGGAGGTGTTGGATGTTCTTTGAATGGAGAAGTGCTCAGAGTGCCAAGGACACAATGGCATCTTCCATGATGAAGAACTGGGGAGTACTTGGTAGAGACTTATGGAGTTATTTTTACATCTCATTTTACTCAGTGTCATTTTTAAGTTGAACTTTAATTAATTAACAGTGATATAATTGATTTGTGTTCCAGTGGTCTCTCTCGATAAGATAAATGTTAAAAGAAAGCAGATTTATTTTTAGAAGAAATGGACCCATATCTACAATACCATAGTCTTCGATTCTACTAGCATCTTTGCTGTTGCCCCAATTTCTTTTATGTTTAAAAGGAAAGAAAAAACACTACTAAGCTAAATGATAGAAAACAAACCAAAACAACTGTCATTGGTAGCTCCTGCTTAAAAAACCCAAGAGGCTGAGTGGTGCTCTGATAATGAAGAGACATTTTGCTTGGTTGTTTTAATTAATATTTGATGTTTAAATTAAACAGTGAATTCTAAAGACAAATTGAAGAGGCACTTTCAATTAAGAGGCCTCCATCCTGTGGCCTGCACAAGAGTGTCAGAATAAAATATTCAGCCTCGAGGGGGTCATAAATTCTGATTGGTTATGGTACAGGAAATTCTCAGTTCAGGAACAAAAATGGTCTTGAGTACGTTTCCTCAAGCATTTTGGGGTCTGTTCAATTTTAATGTATTGTTATGTTTTTAACATTTCATCAGATAATAATGCTGAAACCATCTGCAACAAAATTTGAAATTCTAGTTGGTAGAATTTAAAAGTTAGCGTGTCTACAGTTTAATATTTTATATTTATGAATTAAGTCCTTATGCAGAACATTGCTGAAAGTGACTGATAAATATAATGCCCTTTTTCCATGAAAATGGAACCAAATGTCACAAGTGTGTTTGTTTTTATTCTATAATAAGAAAAGAAAGATCATGTTTTGTAGTATCAATTTTTACCTTGCTTTTCAGTATTTCATCTGGGTTTACTCAGAGGATAGGTTATCTAATGAGCACTAAAAAACTCAAAGCAATGAGAGTTAATTTACTGTTCCTTGCATCAAGTAATAAATATTGCAAAAAAAATGTTTTTTGCATCTGTAATATGTAAATGAAAATGTCAAAGAGTCCTGCCTGATTTTTATACCGGATTTATGGGCAGACTGGTTAAGGGAAAGACCAATATATCAGCCTTAGTTAATTAAAACATGTTAAATATGGACCCTCTCCCCTTTTAGCAGAAGGCCGGTGTTTCTAGCTCATGCATAATATTAAATGTTTACTTTCCAGCACTTTGAGTATCTACTCAGTCAGCCCTGTTTGTGTTCTCTGTATGTTGCCAAGAATTAATCAGCCCAAGACACTGTTTATTTCATTAAGTGCAACAAAGAAGATTTCCATGCATCTTTTTTAGGGCTGGAAAAAAATTTAACTGACTCATTCCTCATAAAGGAGATCAAATGAAAAAAAAAAGTTAACTGAGGTGGCAAATAGATGGCAAAGCAATGTTATACCATATGTTTTATAATTAGCTCTGATTTTTATCTTCGTTCTTTTTTTTAATTACAGTGTAGCTCAGTCTTGTGTTTTTCTATTACATTTACTATTATTGGCTATTGTTCAGTTGGTCTCTTGCATAAACAGCGGAAATGAAAATGATAATATTGGCTCCCAGCTAATATCTTAATGTTCATTTTAGTCATCTTACTATCTGCTGTAGAAACAACAAACCTATGTGGCCTTCTAGGTTTTATTCTTTTAAAATATTATTTCCTTCAAAGCAGCTAACAAATTTCTTTGGAAATGTGCAATATATTTTAATACTTTTTATTATATAATGTGAATGAAAAGAAATTGGTAGGTAGATGATTTGTGCTAGTATTTAAAAAACAGTTAAAAAATGATTAAATATAATGCAAAAAATGGTTACTTGAACCAGAAAACCTCCAAATAATAAACATTAACACAAATATGAGTGACATAAATTCTAGGAGATGATTATCAGCTTTCATATTATTAGTGGCACAGTGCTTGTCCTGGGACTATGAGGTTTATTTATTGTATATGTCTCTCTCAGAGGAGTACTATAGGTAGCGTAGGAGACAACTTCATAAAAGCACAGCATAAATTATTGTGCACAATTGAAACTTCATCATAGCCAAGAAATACATATCTGTCACTCAGTAATCCTCCGTACATTTTTCACTGTGTGATATTGCTTTGTAATTTGAAAATTAGGGCAATCTTTAAGTCTTTCTGCTTTCAAACTTCTTTTATAAACAAGTATTTTTATTTTTACCAAATTAGTATATGCCATGGTTTTTTAAAAAATCATAGTACAGAGGGCTTATAATGAATGAAATAGTCCCTAACCCCACATCTCTCCTGCTGTGACTGTTACCAAAGGCCTTCCTTTTAACCACTTATGTTTCTAGTTCCTCTAGAGGGTGTCTCCATAGCTGAAAATGATACTTCTTGTTGCATCGATTTTAAGTTATCTGTGAGCATTTTCCCGTGATATATACCAGGAACAGTGCTGCTGTTAATAAATTCTGCATAAAGAATGGAAAATTATGTGGAAATGTGACAGTGAAGTTTTCATTAATATTTTTTGTGTGTGTTCATAGTGAATTTTTTTTTTTTTTGAGTTGGAGTCTTACTCCATCTCCCAGGCTGGAGTGCAGTGGCACGCTCACAGCCACCCCAGCGTCAACCTGTTGGGCTCTGGCAATCCTTCCATCTCAGCCTTCCAAGTAGCCAGAACTATGGACACGCACTACCATTCCTGGCTATTTTGATCTATTGTAGAGACTCTCGCTAAGTTGCCCGGGGCTGGTGTCAAACCCACGGGCTCAGGCAATCCACTCATATCGGCCTCCCAAAGTGCTGGGATTACAGACTGAGAAAATTCCTGATTGAAGAGGCTGTGTCACTAGCTATGCCTTCCCACTTCCCCTCTGCCCTCTAGTTATTTCGCTACATTTAGTTTCTCTATACTCTGTAACCTTTGCAGTTTTAAGTAATATCCTTATACTTGCATTTCTAGTTTTATCAATAATAGATAATATATTTTGGTTTTAAGGTTCTTTGCTTCCTTGTACTTTCTTCTGTCTCTTTTTTTCCTCCAACTTCTGTCACCTGCACTTTTATTTTTGTAATTATTTTCTGTTCTCTGACAATAATTACATCTTACATCTTCTACGCTTGAGCGTGGATCAGTTCTATAAAATGACAAGCTTTAAACCATGTTACCTGATTATGACCATGTAAATATTGTCCATTCAGTGGCTAAATAGGGTAGTGCGATTTCCATCTTTATAACAGTTTTTGTTTGCTTTGCTTGGACATTTTCTCTTTTCTTCTTGAATTATATATCTTTAACACTTCGTCACTTTCCAAATTTTCAAAGATAACATCAGCGCGCAGAATATGCCCTTTTCCCAAAGTGTCTTTCGCATCCCTCCCCTGCATTCTCAGCTGACGGCTCTGTGTAGGCCTGCTCCAAGCTCCACAGCTGTCAGCTGGGGATTCCCTTTTTTACTCTTGGAATGCATCCACTGTTTTCTGGATCCCACCTCTTCCTCTTTCTTGATTTTTCTCCTTTGTTCCACTAGAACAAATCCTGAAGTAACAACCTATGAAAGGACATATGGTAGTGATCTTCCTGATACCTTGAGCATTTGTATTTGGAGTGCTTTCAGCTATACATAAAGAAAAATCTCACTGCTGATTTTTGAAAAAAAAAGCAGTTTGTCTTTTTCACTAATAAGATCTCTGTGGCAAATGACTTACTTTTCGGTAATGCCACTGGGGTTAGGCTGTTTTATTTTTCCGTGTTGGCATCCTTAGCTGGTTGGCTATATCCTCTTAGTTGTGATGTGCCCACCAAGCTCCAGGTGTGTCATCTGCCTTTGAGGCAGAAGGAAGCAGGGAAAGGGCAATGCTGGCCACACCTGTCTCTTTTATTAGGAAAGTACAAGTCCAGCCTCTGTATCTGTGGGTTCTGCGTCTGTGAATTCAACTAACTGTAGATCCAAAATATTCTGGGGGTGGGGGGGAAATACCTATACTAAACATGACAGAATTTTTTTTTCTTGTTATTAGTCCCTAAAGAACCATGTGACTTAACTATTTTGAGTTGTAAAAAAAATTCTAATGTATATGTTACATGTCATAGAAGATATGGTTACATGTTATATAGGATTTACATTGCATTAAATATTGCATGTAATCCAGAGACAATTTGAAGTATACGGGATGAGTGTAAACCTACACTCATATAACCTACGTACCAGGTCATGTTATAGTAGGGACTTGGTGGATTTGTAGATTTGGTATCTTTGGGGGTCCTGGATCCAGTCTCCCATGGACACCAAGGGATGATTGCAAATGTAGACTTCCCTTTGGATTTTGTTGGCTAGAGCTGGGCCACAGAGCCATTCCAGCTTTAGATGAGGGATGACTAAAGGGAATGGAGTTGGGAATGGCTATTAGATTATCTGACGGCAACTGTCAGCCACATTGCCTGTGTAAAGTGTCATCCCTGTAGCCACTTATGCTATTGATAGGTGGGTGTGGAATTTTAGGCAAGTCTGCCACCTGGCCTCATAACTGTGACCAAGTCCAAGGATGAAATTAGCTCCATCCAGATAAAAGCCATAGAAGGAATATTTATAGTTGTAATACACAATACATGTGTCAAAGGAGTTGGAAAGAAAGAAAGAGAATTTGAATGTTTTTGTAACACCTTTTATCTCAGATACTAAATCCTTGTCTATAAGCTGGAAAGGAAGGCTGTCTTAAATAAACAAATTCTCCTTGAAATGGTCTTTATTAAGTACTGTCCCTCAGTTCTTCTAATGGATATTTTCAAAGGGCAGTTACTACTCTTACCTTCACAGAATCACTGAAGATAAAG